CTATTAAATAAAAAATAATAAATAATTGTGACAAAAATAGTTTTTTCATTTCCAACCACTGTGCAATGAATTCATCGTCTTGAACCAATGACGTTATCTTAAAAAGTTATCTTATAAGTACCTTTCATTATTTACCATTACATTTTTACCTAGTTGTTTTCATAGAATATTTTTAAATTCTGCCAAATGGCTATTGCTTCTATTATTGCATTTATATGCATTTTTGCGTCACAAACTATTTATTTTAACAAAACGAGCATTTTTCGGATAATCATGTGTCGAGTGATCGAGTAGTTTATTAATTGAAATGCATTATACAATGGAAAATAATGTCACGAAATTGTGAGATGAACGAGTTTAACTACTATTGCTAATTTCCATATTAAGTATCTGTAAATTAAGGAATATAAAAAAACTACTTTTGCTCATTAAGCACAACGTACTTCTTGTCTGCTAAAAGTTCGAAGTATCTTTCAGTGAGAAGACTTGATAAGGACATCTTGCTTTTATACTTCACGTAACTGCAACTTTGAAGACAATTACAATGATCTTCTACCTCGGTTTCAATTCCAAGCTGTGCTGCGTGCAATAACGCTGAAACACAAGCGCATGCTACACAAACTTCTTTAGATTTAACAGTAAAATATTTCACTGAACTGTTAAACTTATATATTTTGTTTCTCATCAAAATAGAAGAAACACAACATACTTGCTACCCTTCGTGAACAAGTCAAATTTTTTTGTCCGCAGATAGGTGTCTCCGGAGACCCTGAAAACAAAACAAGGTCGTCTTAACGTCTACCGAGGGATCAAAAGAAACAAAATTATCACTATTCCAACCACACGCATAAGTATAATAAAAAAGCATTATCAAAGCTTCTGTAATGTTCACCTTAATTTAATTCAAAATGTATTAATGTGAAACATCTCAAATGTTAATTGTTATTTAGTCATCACCAAATTTTTAGGTGAAAAAATTAAAGAAGTATTTTTTTAAATAATTATATATCTTAATTGTATTTACAACAATTTATCGCAATAATAATTAACTTTATAATTTTCATTGTAATTATAATTTTGAATGCCTTAAAACGTAGTTTAACGGGTACTTGGCAGTACCCGATGGCGTATCTTCCTATTAGCCTGCAAGGCGGAGCCTACCCAAATTTTTATGAAAAGGAAAAACAGGTTTTTATTTTATTTAATCGGCTGTCCGGGTAACGCCGCGTCCGTGGCAAAGGTGCCGACGTTGCATTACGCCCTGAGGAATGTCACAGAATGGCGACAAGAACGTCGGCACCTTTGCCATATACGCAGCGTCACCCGGAGAGCCAAGTAAATACTGACTTCGGTCGCGGAAGCCTACGACTTCAACTGACATGGTTCGTCTGGCTTTGTAGGTTTGGCATCTTGTGCTTCCCTCTCAGTTGCGAACTTACGCGAGAGAGAACGAAGGCTCAAGCCTTTCGGAGCCTTCAACGCATGCGCAGTACTTTTGTTCGCGAGGTGCAGATATTTTCATAATACCCCGAAGGCCCGCCTAAAGGAGCCTTTGGGCAATCTTCGAAATCAGTCGGGGCCAGTGGGGGGCTCTCTCACGCCGCCAAGACATTCACACTCGCCCCCCCCCAATAAGCCCAGCTTATCCGAATAATCAAACTCACAGGCACTGGAAGAGGTGTCAGGAAATAGTGGACCGCTGGCGGCACGATTTTTTGTCAATCGGTACTTTTCACACGCAATTCATTTTGGAGAGAAACGCAAACCTTCGGAAACTTTACACGCAAACTTTTGAAGAGAAATGTCTTGTAGATAGTGTGCAAAACTGATTCTTAGTATTTTCCTTACAGACCAAAATAAATACTTTATTATTAATTGTAAAATTTCAAATGTTTTAACAACTTCTCTGAGTGACAGGGACAAAAGAGAGCAAAATAAATAAATCGGTAATTATAATAAACCTATTGCACAACCGTCTGGTTCCTTTTTTTTTACGGACATTTGGTCAACATGAATGCGGGCCACTGTCCTGGCTCTCAGAGAGGTTTCGGTTTAGGTGATGGTGACATCACTCAGACTTCTGCATCCATCTCTACCAGGTTTTTGTCCATTTTCCCTGATCCATTGAGCAAATGCTTAGATAGTCCCTTCGTTTGCTTCTGGACGTAAATGTAGCTTCACTATGCGCACGTTTTGTGGAACTCTCCTTTTGCTTGTAATGGTAGGAGAAGTGGTAAGAGCGAGTTTTGTTAGCAATGCACAAAAATCATACTTGCAATTCATTTACCGATGCAAATAAGTTGTCTATAAATCGGAAACGACAATGACTAATTTTTTCAAATATTAATACTTTAGCATTTTTTAAAAATTAATTTTTATTTATTTATTTTAAACTTTTACACATCATTCACCTATTTATAGTTAAAATGACGGGAAGGAATTCTGGAACTCCCTAAAAAGGTGCGCAGATAATCTTCTCCCCCATACGTCAATATGGTTTTTATTAATTTTTGACTAAATAAGTCTAATTATAAAAAAATCAAGATGTTTTCGATTCAGAGAATATGAGATCAGTTGAGTTCTTGCTGTATTGACGAACACAGTGAACTATTGTGCTTATTATATATTATTGTGGGACGAGCCTATATATTATAGTGAAAGACTTTTTCTTCAGAAGCGATATCTGACTTGGATCTACTTCCATAAGAGGCTCAGTGGAAGTGATCTGTGTCTGGTGGATTTTTTTGCTTGGTTTTTTAAACTTTGTTGGTACTATTACCTTTCCACCTTGGGTGCACGCCGTGTCATCAGGGAAGTCTATAGGCGACACCTGACAACTGCAGTGCACTACTAGAGCAGGAGCACGTTGTGTTTGACAACTTGCTGATAGCCTTGAGGACTTGATCTTTTAAGTACTGGAGAAGGATAATGACAGGTCTACTGGATTTCTAGCCTGTGCCGGCGTTTGGCCTCAGGGAAGGAAACCTTTTCGGTCACTCTTATCGTCTGAATCTCTCTTTGCATGCATCAAATGCATGCGCTGTCGGCCAAAGTTCTTAACTAAGCTCTGTGAAGTCACGGAAGTTAAGCTTCTCGAGGCACCTTGGCCCCCTGGAGGTGATAGTGTCGGAACACCGGATACTAACGGCGTTGAGCGGCTGGTCAATTGAGGTAAAATGCAATGACTGGCGATGTTCAAAGAAAATTACTTCACAAGATTGTAGGCTTCCGTTGCCGGAGTCAGTAACTGGGCTGTCCGGAAGACGCCACGTCATAGGCGCAGGTGCCGAGAAGTCGTCGTCTCCCGCACAGCCAAGTAGCTACACAATTAGTCCATGTTTAACGCCAAAAAGGCTTGGAATGTTGTTCCGCAAGAAACAAATCCTTCGTGTGTGCGACCCTGCCCCAAGCCACCGCAGCGTGGTGAGCTGAACCGAGGGCGCAGAAGAGCGCGTGTCCTCACTGGGCATGTAGAACTCGACGCAACCGCACGCGCGCAGGGTGGCGTTGGCGAGGCATTCGAGCTCGCAGTTGGCCAGCGTGTAGTGCTTGAAGAACCGCAGCGCGCGCTCGCCGGGGAAGAAGCACAGGCGGTCGTCGGGCGCGAAGGAGCTGCGCAGCGACGCCTGCGCGCGCACGTGGTGCGGCCGGACCGCCACCCGCACCGTCGCGTCCAGC